ATCGAGATATTAATAAGGAACCAGCAGATCAAGTAGCTTTTGGAATAAAACACCAATTTTTTTAAAATTAAACACTATCTAAAGATTTGCATCGAAGCGTTTATTTTTGATAGTGATTTTAATCACTGTCAGATATCATTTACTTGATCCAACTATGCCACGTCACCACTGTGCCGCGACCCCCCTGTGCTGGGTTTTTTTTCTTATCAGTATTAAATAATGGAAATTACTTTGAACGTATATTAAGAAGTCAATAATTGCTTTAAAAAAATTTCAACAAATTGATTATCGGATCGAAATATGTTATATCTTTGTGGATCAACTTGTGTACATATAATATTTTATGTTTGGTGTAAAACTATGTATTACACATAGTCTTACTATATTATACTCAATATAATATTGTCTTCTATTTAAATTTACATTTTGAACACATATAAACTCTAAATATTTTATGTTATAAAATATATCGTGTTAAGTTGAAGAATTTTAAAAACGTTAATATTTCTTTTTTTTTTTTTGTAAAAAAAACCTAGTCAAATATTTATAGTAATAATAATAATAATTATTATTATTATAATATCATAATAATTACATCATGTTATCATAATAACTAAATAAATTTGATTAAATGTTTTAGAAAATAAATTGATTAATAATTACTTACTTAAAGATATTACAATTTTCTGGCTATTATTATCTTCTAGCAGTTTATTTGTTGAACCAAAATCACGATTTGGTTTCTTATTTTGTAGTTTTTTGAGAATTTTTTCAATGTTGTTTACTTGATTGAGTACATTTTTAGTTTTACTTGAATAACTATCAGAATTAGGTTTTTCAAGAGTTTCATTTTGATTTTTGAATTGATTTTCAACTAGTTCGTTGTAAATGTCTAGCAAGCGACTTACGTGTGAACCAGTAGGTTTATTTTTTCTTGTTGGGAAAATTTTCATGGGCTCCTTAGGAGCACGAACGTCATTTGATTTAGAATTAGTCAAATTATAATGTCTATCTAATCTACAATCTATACCTAATTCATTGTAATTTGATTGACCAATTATAGATTCAATATCGTCATCATTATTGGTTTTCTTCACGGAATTAAATTTTTTTACTCTAGCCATTTGATTACTTTCAACTGGTTTATTTGTTTTACTAAATCTATGATTTTTATTTAAAATATGATTGTTTTTTTCATTATCTTTTGATGTTTTTTTGATTGTAGATAACCCTATTGATTTATCGTTACTATCTTTTTTACTGCCTTTAGTTGATCCTTTAATTTCCAAATTATTTTTATCGTTTTTAGATCTTTCATTCAGATTACTTATAATATGTAAAACACTCGATTTATTTGTAGAATCAACGCTATTTTTTTGCTCTAATTCACTATTAATTATACTACTGTTAAAATTACTTAATGAATTTTTAGTAACAGATTTATTTTCAAAATTAACATTGTTTTGATCAACATCTTTCTTCGATTTTTTATTTAGGTCATTTATTATATCTGAAACCATTGATTTTTTGTCAGGATCGCTACTTATTTGATCTTCATTTTTGTAATTTTTAACACTATTGGAAGTGTTGTTTGATATACTTTCACTGTAATTTTGTTTATTAAAATATTGACAATTTTCATCAAATATCATATCTCGCATTAATTTTCCATTTAAATCATTAATAATGTTGCTAAAGTTTAAATTATTATTAAAACTGTTACTGTTTTGTTCTTTATTTCTATTAGACTTTATATTATCAGTTGGACTACTTGGTGTACTTTTATTATCTGTTTGACAACTAGAATTTGAATTATTTTCATTCAACTTGATATCTTTCATTTCTTTTTTATTTATATTACTTATAATATCTTTAACCGTCGATTTTTTTTCAGAACTGTTACTGTTTGCATCTTGCATTTTTTCCTCATTTAAATCACTTATAATACCATTAGACTTTGTTTTTTTACTAAAACTTTCACTGTTTTGTTCTTTGTTTTTATTCGAATTTAAATTATCAGTTGGACTATTTGGTGTACTTTTATTATCTGTTTGACAACTAGAATTTGAATTATTTTCATTCAACTTGATATCTTTCATTTCTTTTTTATTTATATTACTTATAATATCTTTAACCGTCGATTTTTTTTCAGAACTGTTACTGTTTGCATCTTGCATTTTTTCCTCATTTAAATCACTTATAATACCATTAGACTTTGTTTTTTTACTAAAACTTTCACTGTTTTGTTCTTTGTTTTTATTCGAATTTAAATTATCAGTTGGACTATTTGGTGTACTTTTATTATCTGTTTGACAACTAGAATTTGAATTATTTTCATTCAACTTGATATCTTTCATTTCTTTTTTATTTATATTACTTATAATATCTTTAACCGTCGATTTTTTTTCAGAACTGTTACTGTTTGCATCTTGCATTTTTTCCTCATTTAAATCACTTATAATACCATTAAACTTTGCTTTTTTACTAAAACTTTCACTGTTTTGTTCTTTGTTTTTATTCGAATTTAAATTATCAGTTGGACTATTTGGTGTACTTTTATTATCTGTTTGACAACTAGAATTTGAATTATTTTCATTCAACTTGATATCTTTCATTTCTTTTTTATTTATATTACTTATAATATCTTTAACCGTCGATTTTTTTTCAGAACTGTTACTGTTTGCATCTTGCATTTTTTCCTCATTTAAATCACTTATAATACCATTAGACTTTGCTTTTTTACTATAACTTTCACTGTTTTGTTCTTTGTTTTTATTCGAATTTAAATTATCAGTTGGACAATTTGGTGTACTTTTATTATCTGTTTGACAACTAGAATTTGAATTATTTTCATTCAACTTGATATTTTTCATTGCTTTTTCATTTATATTATTTATAATATCTAAAACTTTGTTTTTTCCTTTATTGAAATTCTTATTAGTTGACAAAATGCCAGGTGTATTTTTGTATGCTTTATCATTAGAGGAATTACTTTTATCAAGTATTTTATTATTTTGATTTGATTTTTCATTTTCATTAATGATATTTACTACCACAAAGTCATTTGAGTTTGGTTCAGAGTCTTTTTTCGAATTAATTTTATTAGTTAAACTGTTTGATGCATTATTGTTTTCGTTGAAATTAATCGTATTAAAATCATGTTTATGTATATTATCGGTCATATCACTACATGATGTATGTTCATTTTGATTTTCATTGCTTATTTTGTTTTTGCTTATATTATTTTTACTCGTTTTTCCTCTTTTTTTTCTATTTCTATTATTTACTTTTACATCTTCAGGATTCGGTTTAGAAAATAATTTATTTTCATCATAATGATTAAAACTCCCTAAAAAAAAAATATCGATTAAGATTTTTTTAGGTTCCCTATATTGGTATGTAAAGCGGTAACTCCTATAGGTTATGCAATTTTATTTTTGAGCTTCCTGTTCTAGTACTTCATAAAATAATTTGTTTCGAACATAAATTTTTACGAAAGTTGTATTGAATTTAAATAGTTTCATACTATAAACTTATCTCTATTACTATATTACATGGTATGAGAATATAAGATTCTAATGCAAGTTTTTACATTTTTTAATAAAGCGTTTATATGTTTAAAATGATTTTTTTTAGCAATGTATCGTTGAAAATGTTTAATATTTTGAGTGAAGTTGAATTATGTTATACTAATTGCAATTAAAAATGAATATAAATTTTTCTTTAATCATAGATCAATTGACAATATAGTCGTAAATGGCGATTATAATAAATAATGACTCGCAATAAATATTCCTAATTAGAAATTCTAAATTTAACTTCTTATTTCTAAGTATTCAGAATATAGAATTATTGTGTTTTCTATAACTCATTTATGAATAATTTTTTTTTAAGTATTTTATGTTTAAGTAATTAAAAAACAACGATTTATGGAAAAAATTCATTCATCAAAAAAAAAAGAAATGAGTTAGAACTAGGGGTCGCGATTGTGAACGGGTATTAGAATACACGGATACATGGAGCCCGGGTTCACGGGCAAAACATACAGCAGGGTGTTCAGTAAATAAGGAAACGAATTTCTATTGTACTCATTGTTTGTAACAATTTAACTGTTTCCTAACTTACGGAACACTCTGTATATTATAGCCCGTGTATTTAATATCCGTGTATAATACCCACGTAGACCCGTGTATTTAATACCCATGCATTCATTGTATATACATATATATATATATATATATATATATATAT